GCCCTCAAAAATGTCAAGATCATCAAAAACAAGGAAAGCCTAAAAATGTGTTGTGGCTGAGAGGAGCCTGAGGAGACATGATGACCGAAGGTCATGTGGGTCCTGGAACAAGACCATGGGCAAAAAAAGCAAAGGGAATCTGAATTAAATATGGACTTTAGTTAGTAGTCACATACCAATGTTGTTGGTTCATTAACTGTAATAAATGTACTAAGCTAAGCTATTAATAGGGGAACTGGGAGTAGATTATACGGGAATCCTCTGTACTATCTTTACAATTTTTCTGTACATTTAAAACTGTTCTAAAAATTGGCTTAATAAAAAAAACCCTGCGACTGAAATATTGAAAGCTAGCCTTAATTTTCCTTTTTGAAAAGAAACTGAGGTCCAGAAACTGTCCTGAAAAAAATTAGTTATTGGCCTAGGTTCAGAAGTCAAGGTTCCCATCCCACCACAAAATACCCCACTTGGTAATTCTACACTGCTTTTGTCTTAAAGACAAAATGATTTTCCACATATTTTAATGTTCAGGAGGATTTCATAAGTCTGTCCCTTTTTAAGTCTTCATTTGTCTTTACATTTACAGAATCGTAAGCAGATAACATACTTATCTGTTGTCATACTACTTCTAAAATCATCAGTAAGAAATATACACCAAGTAGCTCAAGAATAAGGTAGTAATGCTTTTAAAAAACAAACAGCATACTTCCCTCCCAACTTCCCCCAAGCCCCAGAGCAGGTGGTCTCTAGATTAGGAATGGTGAGGAATAAAAGTGAATAAAGAGATGACCTTTAGCCCTGGCTTGTGTGGCTCAGTGGACTGAGCGCTGGCCTGTGAACTAGGAGTTCACTGGTCTAATTCCTGGTCAGAGCACAAGCCTGGGCTGCGGTCAGTCCCCCGCTGCCGGTGTGCAAGAGGCAACCAGTCGATACTTCTCTCCCTCTCTTTCTCCCTCCCTCCCCTCTCTAAAAATAAATAAATAAAATCTTAAAACAAAAAAAAACAAAAACATGACCTTTATACTGAAGAGCACTTTCCATTTGCCACATTCCCCGTCTCTTCTAGCTCACAGCCCACACTCACTAAAACAAACTGACTTCTCTACAGGCAGTCTCTTGCATCCCCGAACACTATAGAACTTTCCCTCAGACTTTATTTTCTGTTTGAAAGCAGAAAATGAAGCACATCATTTTATGGTTTTCTTTTAGGAGTAATTTTCTATCTTTCTCTCATAATTTTTAAGATTGCAAGGTTATTACCTGAACCTCTACAGCAGAGCCCCTTCGAGCTAGGAGGCAAAGGCTGGGTGGATGTGAAAGTCATAATTAGGCAACTCAGTGCTATATGATGGGCCCGCCCACGTAATTGCTGTCTCGGCCAAATCACAAATTGCTGTACACAGGCATGGACCTCCAGGACCACCGGCAACTGACAGTCAATACCAAGCACGCAATACAGTCACACAGAATTATAGTGTTATCTGAAAATTATGTAATGTTATTAACCAATGTTACCCAAATAAATGTAACTTTAAAATATTTGAATAAAACATGGACATTAGTTAATAATGTTTCAATATTGGTTCATCAATTGTTGGAAATGGATAATAGGAGACCTTAATCCAGAGGAAACTGAATGTTATGGCAGTATATGGGAATTCTGTGTACTATCTTTGTAATTTTTGTGTAAATTAGAACTCTTCTAAAACAAAACAGCTCTTCAATGTACTAACAAAACAAACTACAAGCATGAAAATCTTTTAACATCCATGAGTTTACTGAGGTGGAAAACCACTCTCAAAACTACCCTAGAGTCACAGGCCAATGTGAGCCTTGTTTGACTGTCTTATGTCCCTTCTGTGAGTGAGCAAAGACTAAGTCAATAAAGCCAACACTATGGGGCCAATGCTATATGGCTCAGGTTCCAATTGCCACTGATCTAAAGTCAAAACTTACAACATCTAGGTTTCAGAGAAATGAACAGTCTGCATGTCCTTCCAATACGTCTTACAACTGGGCTTTTGACAAAAGCTGGGTGGCAGAGTTCAAGACTGTTTTCTGGAGTAAAAGGAGAAAATCCATCTGATGCCCCATAGCATTAGCTGACAGTTCAATTCAATGTCATGAGCACCAACAAGAAATCAATCATTTTCCTAAAAATGGGTCTCTAACATTCAGAGGCTTAATCTATATCAAGTATGCACAAAATCTGGGGAAAAAATTTTTATAGGTTAAAGGTGACCTGAATGGCTGTATTTATTTGCCCATGTTTTCAAACTTTACGCATCTCCTATATTATTAGCTTATAAGTCAAGGTTCCTTTTTGGGGGGGGATTATGGTCAATATCAAAATAAACTCATCATAACCTACTTTTTAGCAATCTAATTTACAAGAAAATACACATAAGTTAGGCAGTACTATTTAAACTCCTGCTAGTATTTTCCTTCTATAAAAAATGCCAAAAAAGTAAAAATTAAAAAAAAATAACTACCGACATAGATAAAACCACACAGAACTATGTACAAACAATGGCATGGGATACCTGGTAAAATCTGAATAAGGTCTATAGATTGTACCAATGTCGGCTTCCTGCTTTTGTTATTGTACCATAGTTACACAAGATGCCACCTTTGGGGGAAGCTGTGTGACGGTCACAGAGACCTCTCCGGACTATTTTTGCAACTTCTTGTGGGTTTGTAATTATTTCCAAATTAACAGCTTTTAAAATATGCACATGTGTGTATACACAAATACACAATTTTATCGTTGAAGGTGGTCCTTTAAACTTAATCAAAGTTGTCTGGAAACTAGCTTTAAATTGACCTGGTCTTTTAAAAAGCACAACGCTACAAAAGACTCAGAAAGGTGAACTGGATTCGAATTTTGAACTTCAGGCAAAGTCTTTCTCTTTTCCTTTCAGTTAATTGGGGCTTTTTTAAAAAAATCAAATATAATTATCTAACTATATCCAAGTCAGAGAATCTCTACCCTCTGGGATCACGTGGGAAAATGTACACAAAACCAGAAACAGGAACCAAATGTGCACGCATTTATAATATAAATGTTTTGTGGCTTGCTTCCCAATTTCCCAAGGACAGAGCAAAAGCCCAGCTCTCAGGATCTTGGGGTTAGGAGGGTTCTTCAAGAGCATACTCACTGTTATTATTTCGATCCACCCTTAACTCTTAACAAGAGTGAATTTATCTTGAGTTCTACAGATGGAAGTTTCCTATTTTAAAACAGAAGATTCACAGAGTTAACTCCTCATACATATGCAGTGCAGTGTGTGTGTGGTGTAACTTGTCCCATCAGAGAAACTGGGTTCCAGACCCTCTCGCTCTTCTCTGGCCTTGCTCGGCTTACTGAGCTTCCAGGGAATCTTCTATCTCTACATGTCGGATGTGGGTGATAGCTCTACTAACTCAAAGGCCTGCTGTGAAAATATAAAAAGGTAATACAAAGTCTATCAGAGTCCAGTACTTCACAGGTATACTCAAATGGTTTGTTCTTTGATATACCAAGTACAACCACAGTAATACATTTTCAATTTTCATACTGGACCAAAAAAGTCTAATATGCCTGCCTACTCCTCCAACATACTTCTACAAGGCTGAATGATGGGACACAACACGAAAAACTCGCTTTCCTCCCATTACATTAATATGATTTCTTCTTTAACACTTCCTTGCAATGCTGCACAAATACAATGTTAACATTTAGATATGGAAATGTCTACATTTATCTATGATTTATTTCCCTATCACTAATTGTTTTTCTTTAATGATAATTCTATTCTCAGCATACATTCTTTAAAAAGTCCATATTATTTTACTATACACATTTAACTACTACATGAGACTTTGAACACAAAATATTCTAGTTAACAGAAACAAACACATTCTGCATCAAATTTTAACAAATTCAGACAACCATTTAGATCAACTTTAGGACTGGGCAAACACTAAAGAAATATTAAATTTGCCACCTTTCAAAGGCAGAAACCTTATCCTCCATAAGGGTCCCTTATTGAAGGGACCTATTTAAAAAAAATAAGAATTCTATTAAAGATCTTTAGCCCTGGCTGGTGTGACTAAGTGAATTGGGCGGTGGCCTGTGAACCAAGAGGTCGCTGGTTCAATTGCCCACCCGCCTGGGTTGCGGACCAAGTCATACAAAAGGCAACCACTCAATGTTTCTCACTCACATTAATGTTTCTCTCTCTCTCTCCCCCCTTCCTATCTCTAAAAATAAATAATAAATAAAATGTTTTTAGAAAACTTTTAAAAAGAAAAATCTTTAAAACAAATGAAAACTCAAATTATTGGAATTTGTTAAATTTAAGATTTTATATTTTATCCTTTCAAGTCAAATCTACTTTTGTATCTATTTTCCTAAGATATACTGGTCTGTAGTTTCTCCTGAAGTTTTTGCCTGGCTTGGCAAAACTGGCCTCACAGAATGAGCTGGGAAGTGTTCTCCCTCTTCTGTTTGGGAAAAGCATTTGTGAAGAATTGGTGTTTTCCTTCCTCAGTATTTGGCAGAATCACAGTGAAACCATTTGGTTCCGGGCTTTTCTTTGTGGGACTTGTTTCTCAAAATAAATTAGGAAATTTCAACTCTAATTCCTTTAATCCACAAGAAATTAGAAAGAAGATCACAAATCCCAGGTAAGGGATTTCTCTGTCCCTTAATCAGACTGAGGAAGTTCCTTTTGATTCCTGGTTTGTTGAGTGTTTCTACCATGAAAGGTACTGCATTTTGTTAAATTCTGTCTATAGAGATGCTCGAGTAGTTTTTGTCCTTTATCAATGTGGTATATGACATTTATCATTACATGCTGAACCAAGCTTGCATTCACGGGAAAAATCCCAGTTTGTCCTGGTGAGTAAATGCTATTTATATGTTGCCGGATTCTGTCTGCTAGCACTGAGTATGTTTGCATGATTTCATAGGAGGTAGTGTTCTGTGGTTTCCATTTCTTGTACACTTTTTTACTTCAAAAAATATGGGACACTTCACATATCTGTGTATCATCCTTGCAGGGGGACCTGCTCATCTTCTCTGTATCGTTCCAGTGTTAGTGCATGTGCCGCTGAAGCGAGCATGCATGTACTGTTTGCCTGGTTTTGGTATCAGGGTTCCACAAAATGAGCTGACAAGTGTTCTCTCCTCTTTCATTTGTTTGGAAGAGTTGGTGAAGAACTGATGTTAATTCTCTCATGAAGTACGTATTTTGTATAATTCACCAGTGAAGCCATTTGGTTTAGGTCTTTGTTTATGAAACTTAGTCTCTTAAAAGCAATTAGTAAAATCCAATTCTAATTTCTTTAGTCTGTGAGAAATTAGAAAAAGGAACAGAAGAAATTACCTTGCTAATGTTATTAGTTGTTTTTAAAAAGGGTGATTTTTTTTTCATTTTTAGAGAGAGGGGAAGGGAAGGAGAAAGAAAGAAAAACATCGCTGTGTGGCCTCCCGAACATGCTCTTGCCTAGACAGAAGACCAAACCCATAACCAAGGCATGTGCCCTGACCAGGAATGGAACCAGCGCCCTTTCACTTTGTGGGACAATGTCTGACCAACTGAGCCACACCAGTCAGGGCTTTAAAAAGGCGATTTTTAATAAGTCAGTGTGTAATAACAGCCGAGGCAGTCTTTCATTTAGGCTATCCATTCATCTTTCCACTTAAACTTTAAATCTTATTGGGTTTAGATAATGTTAGGTTGCCTAATTTAATCCTCACAAGAACCCCAGAATGTTCTATCTGGGGTTCCCGTTTGACACAGTAGGAATTTAAGACTAAGAGAAGTTACACAAAGTGTCCAAGGTCACAGTTAGACATATACAATAGTGTTTATGAGCAGGAAACTCAGAAGTCATAATCTCTCTTCAACTATTTAATAACTTGGCATACTGGGTGAATTACTCAGGTCGCTGAGCACTGGCCTGCGGAACCAAGAGGTCTCTGGTTCAATGCCCAGTTAGGGCACATGCCTGGGTTGCAGGCCAGGTCCCCAGTTGAGGGCCAGCGAAAGGCAACAAATCCCTGCGTGTGTCTCTCACACACTGATGTTTCTCTCCCTCTCTTCTTCCTCCCTTCCCCTCTCTCTAAAAGTAAATAAAACTTAAAAAATAAATAAATAATCTCCAAATAATTTTCACAGTTCACAGTTAAGCTAATTTAAAAGTACATGTGGTGCCATTAAAAAGCATTCCCCCAGCCCTTCCCTAACAGAGTTCTACATAAACCACACAGGTCACAACCATGTTCACCGTTTTATTATTCCCCAGTTGTTATGAGCTGTCGATTTTATTTACACTGTTCACTGCACTATTAGTTTGCCACCCTAGTTGTCCCTTCCAACAGCCCCCCAGGTAAGGTATACAGGAGACAATGTGGAGAGCAAAGAGATTCAAAAGCTGGTTGCCTGCGCTGGGCCTGCACTGGTGCTTACCAAATGTCCCTTCAGCCCCCTAAACTATCTGCAAGGCAAAGCGAACTCTAACTAAAAGGACGCAATAGCCTGATTGCCAAAACTGCAGCAACTGACTTTCGTCAAAACGTTCACCCATCGTGGTCCTTACAAGATAGTGTGAGTCGAATCTGCTAAGTTAAGATAGCACAGTGTGAAGGGTCGCCGACACCCATCCTCAGATAGGTCAGAAAATCTGCCTGCGGTAGGTAGGGCGCGGGTACTGCCTTCCACGGTTCACCCTGGATTGCGCTGCTCCCGAGGCCGACGGCTCCGCTGCACAAGGGAGAGCTCCCTAGAGCTCTCCACCTCTGCTCTAACGTCAGGACAGTTAATGGACAACAAGGCGGGGATGCTGCTCACGGTCCTCGCGCACTGCTTGGAAAAAAAGACTAGGGCACAGAGTGACTTTAAAGATCAATACAACTCGCCTTTAAAACTTAAAAACAAAATCCTCATTCAAAAATCAAGCCAACGTTCCATTCCTCACGCCGATGTAAAGGGAGTGAACTGTGGCTCACCGGTCTTCCCTGCCCTTCAACTCAGTTGAACTTCCCTCAACCGGCGTCCACTTGAGTCCCGCTCCGCGTCACCCCCGCTCCCGGAAACGGGACCCTACGAGCCGCGAGCGCGGGGTACCAGTCCGTGAGGTGCGCCACCCGCACTCAGGCTGCAATTCACTGCAGTCCTTTCTCACCGCGCCGTTAAAGGTGCATCGGACTTCCCCGTCCTGTTTTAATACACACCTCCATCCAATTCCAGCAACTCCACCGGGTGTTACACCCATTACCGCGGTACAAAAGGTAAGCAGATTGCCTAAGTTCACAGTTCACACAGCAACAAATGGTGGATGAACAACCGACCAGTTGAACCACGGCTTTGATCTTAACCAAACTTAACCTTAACGCCAAAAGTGCCTAGCTCTCAACTACAGTCCTAACCTGATCATAAAACCCATCGCGTGACCTTGGGCCAGTTCCTCACCGTGGAACGAACGACCCGCCCACGGCGAGCTCGAGTACTTTCTTGCTTTTCGTGTCTGGTGAATTTCCGACTGGATTACTTTCCACCTCAGAACAGGTGAAAATGTTCAGAGTTAAGTTTTTCAATCACCGCGTATTCTAGTACATTCTGCATACTCTTCGGGGTCCTAGGTTTCCGTCAGTCCTCGCTTCGCGGCTGTTTTCAAGTACCGAACCCGTAACATTAATCAAATATTCTCTCGATCCGGTATCCCCTTTCTCCACTACTGGGGTTATCGACTAGGCCGATCCCACCCCAGACTTTTACCCGGTTTACTCCAGGCCACCCCTCGGCTGCCCAAGCAGCCAGCAAAAGGCCTAAGAAACCTCGAGAAGCAAAGCCAGGGGCAAAAATTGGCTTTCCCTGAGGTCACAAGAGCGAGGCTCCAGGGCACCTGCCACGCCTCCCGACCCCAGCGGCGCGGCCTGGGCTTGGATCCCCAACCGAGACAGTCCAGGCTCGGGCCTAGCCCCTCACGACCAGCGCGCGGGCCACAGCCTGAGCTCTCGAAACCCAGCCCTACCCCTCGGCCCCGGACCCGTCTGACTCCTCGGCCGCGGCGCCATGCACCCAGGCCCCTGGGGTCCTCACAGGCCCGAAGAGAAACGCAGGCCTCCCCCGACTCACCTCGAACCTCCCGGGGCCCGCCGGCTACGCCCGCGTCTCCCCTCGACCGCACACCTGGCGCCGCGCTGCAGGGGAGACAGCCGCAAAAGAGGCCCGACCGTCACGTGCTACTGAACGAAAAGGCCTAGGCGACCGCTGCTGCCGCGAGCGATCGAGCGCCGCCGCACGAAGTCCGGCCCTACCTCCGCCCCTCGATCCTGAGTAGCTCCGGCCAGCGCAAAATCCCGCCCCCAGCGGCAGTCCCGAAATACAGTTGGCCAACGTGGTCATCGCTCTAATCACCTTCCCATCCGCCCCCCTAGGGCTATTCTTCGTGGAGTGTGGGGATTGGTTGGGAATGAGGCAGGAAGTACCTGTTGGTTGGGCGGGAGGGGCGGGGGCGGGCCAGAGCGGATAAGGAAACGCAGGCGCGCGCTCTGGGGCGGGGCCGGCCCAGCAGACGTTTAGGCGCCCCGTTGACCTGGTGCCTTAATGGGCGGGCTGCCCGGCATTTCATCCCAACCCATGTGTTTAGCTCTTGGATTTTGAACCCTGGTCCCAGGCCCCGCATAGTGTTCCCTTCGTTGAGAAGGCAAATGGCTAGTGGTAGAAAGGGTGGGAGGTCTGCCATCGGGTAAGGCCAGTTCCCCTAGCTGCGAGTGCGAGTTCCCGAGGGGTGCTCGCGGAACCGGTACGGGTTCCCTCCGACAAGCCCGGAGTCGCCTGCGCAGCCTTGTGTAACCACCCGTCACCATTCCTGCAGAGTCGCCGCTCTTGGCCTAAGAGCCTGCGGCTGCGACTTTACCCAATATAATAAACTAGAGTCTAAAATACTGTAATTCAAGGTTTTTTCAACTTTCAATTTGTAATCTATCCTGAAGTAAGATTAGGCATAAAGTCACAGAGACACACGACAAGATTGAAAGAAAAAGATGGTGCCTTGGAAAAAGATTGCAAACATACCACTACTTTAAACCTACTTGTAGTACATCTTCAGTTTTCAATGTGCCGAGAACCTCAGAAAATGGAAGTAGCTAAGGTTTCCTCAGACTTTTGTAGGTCCTGCTCTGTCTTGCATCTGCTTGTACACCCGAAGACTGACTCCTGGGGTGGAAAAGCTAGAATCAGCAGATGGATCGCCTATCCGAGGACCAGCTTTATTCCCCTCTGCCACCTGGAAGGGGGGAAAAAAGGAGTCAGAGTTTGGTGTTTGAACGAGTTCAGTATCCTCTAACTCTCAGCCCCATGATTTGGGTAAGGGAATTTTGCTTTTCTGTTTACCTGGGGAAGTGGATTATTTAACGTACAGTAATATTCTGGATGACACCTATCCCAAACAATGTGCTTAAAATGTAGTTACAGCCCTATTGGCGGGGCTCAGTGGATTGGGCATCATCCCCCAAACGGAGGGGTCACCAGTTTGGTTCCCTTTGGCAGCACACGTCTGGACTGCAGGCACGATCCTGCACATCGATGTTTCTCTCCCTCTCTCTTCCCCTCTCTCTAAAAATAAATAAATAAAACCTTTTTAAAAACCGTAGGTACGGGCCCTGGCTGGTGTAGTTCAGTGAATTAAGTGCCAGCCTGAGACCCAAAGGGTCTCCAGCTCAATTTCCAGTCAGGGCACATCCTGGGCTGTGAACTAGGTCCCCAGTAGGGATCATGTGAGAGGCAAACACACATTAATGTTTCTCTCCCTCTTTCCCCTTCCCTCCCCACCTCTCTAAAAATAAATAAATAAAAATCTTTAATGAAAAAGATTCCACACCTGGTTGGTGTGGCTTGGTGGACTGAGTGCCAGCCTGTCAATCAAATCTTAGTCTGGGCAGACGACTGGGTTGCTGGGTTGCGGGTCAGGTCCCCAGTTGGGGGTAGGCAAGAGGCAACCTATTCTTGTATTTCTGGCACATAGATGTTACTATCCCTCTCTCCCCCCTTTCCCCCTCTCTAAAAATAAAATCTTTTTAAAAATATAGTTACAGGAACTGCATATGTGAGCAAAAG